CACACACACACACACACCTGAAACATACACTTCCCTCGACAAACACAAAGATGTATACATATAATGACACACAGGTGTACATGTAACTACGTATGCATTCCCCCTACACATGAACACACACATACACAGACATGCACAGGTATACATGGGCCATCACACATACGTGCAGATCCCCCCATAAACACACACAGACAGTCAAACACACATTCTCTCCCTCACATATGTACACACACATATATACACACAGACACACATGTGCAGTTCCCCCCATAAACACACACACATACACATACACATACAAAAACTTATAGGTCCATATGTTTCTGCCCCTCATGAACACATAAAAATGCAAACACTGGTGTACATATATCTGCCGCAATCCACATGAAGACACACTGATACAGATAGGTACACACGTACTTTCACATGTACTTGCAGCACCCCCATAAACAAACACACACAGACACTTAAATACACATTCTCCTACACAAACATGAGCATACACAGACTCAAACACAAAACAATCTCCCGGGTGGGCAGTTAAAAGGGTAAAAGAAAATTGCAATATGTCCTCCTTAGGTGTGCTGTGTTCTTGGAACATCTGTCATACATATCCTGCATCAATTATTTTCACCTGTCTGTAACAGAGTATCATAGTGAAGAGACACTCTGTTGATGTGATCAGACGTCTCAATGCTAAGGTGACTCACAAGGAAATCCCTCTGTAGACATCATGCAGAGTATAGCAGAATTCACATTATATATTTAGCTCCATTTTTCTTTCATTTTCATTTTAAATTGCAGTCAACATTGGCATATACCTATTAAAATTACACAATTAAACAATGCCTAAGCAAAATTTATTTTGCCTTTACAGTATTATCATTTTATTTAATTAACTTTTGGGATTAAAACTAGATGTTGAATTACTAAGACATATTAGAACCCGGAAAAAAATCTATATTTTAAATCTGGTAGAAAAGCTGTTGCTTATGATCCAATTTTAAGGATTTAGGAATAAATTACATATATAAATATATGCTAGTTTTACTGTTTATGAAATTTTATATGCACTTTAGGTAATTTAAAAATAAAAATTAAAATTTTTATGTTTGATACTTCGAAATCTATGAGTCCATATTTGATAGGTTTTAAAGTTTTTCTATTATATCTTTTGTTACAGTCAAAAGAAATTCTACATGCAAGCTGTGTCTACAAAATATGAAAATCGGGGCACTGGAACAGTGGCTCAGCAGTTAAGAGAAATGACTGCTCTTGCAGAGGACCCTGGACTGATTTCCTGAACCAAATTTTAGCTAACAGTCATCCATAACTTCAGTTCCAGTTCCATGGGGTAGGAATCCTTCTTCTGACCTCTATGGGCATTGCACATGTGGGTGCACATACATGAAGGGAAGAGTTCATATGCATAAAATAAAATATTAAAAGAGAAGAAAATGGGAATGCTTATATCTCTCCATGAACCCAGTAAGAATCTGAAAAGGAGGGCACTGCACATTTTCTTCTAGATTAATAAGCAAACAAGAAAACCATGTAATGTGTCAAATAAT